TCCGCAACTTGGGATACAATATTTCTTAATCTGGCAAAGCTAAACAAATGAAACAAAGATTACTTGCACAACTTTTCTTTGAAACTATTATAGATCTTACCTTTTCTAACACACAGTTGCTGCCGAATAACCGAAGAAATGGAATTCAAAAAATAAAGAAAACTGGAAATGGGTTATAGGATATTAACTTCATTTCACTTCTTAATAAATACTTCCGATCTCCTTGTTCTTTCCATTACGACATAAATCAAGATTAAAATTGATGATTTGGGCAAAAGCTTCAAGTATGTATATTTAAATAGGTTAATAAGTACACAAAGCTCAAAATATAGAAAAAATGCCGTAAAGTTAGTTAATTTTTCACGAATGGCAGACGAGTAGCGGTGTAAGTTTGAGGCGGACAAACGCAGATTACTCGATTATTAACTATATGTAGTATAAACAATTCTCTCTCAGTTCAAAAAATTGCGTTCAATTTATTTAATGTAGTAAAACATCTTTAATATTCACAGTCACCTTCTTAAAACAGTCACGCATCTTAAAACATAATTTTAAAAACATCACGGAGCCCCAACAACGAGGTGCTGCGATCCGTCTGGTTGCAACTGTTGCCGCGAGAGGGCAGTCTATGCCGACGCGCCTGAAGTAGCTTGGCTGGTAGGCAACTTGTTCTACACTCATGTCAAGTGGTCACTCTCAGGGGGACGAAACGAACTAAAAGTTCGACGGAGTAGTTTTGAAGTGGTTCAAAAACCGCCATTTGATCAGTAGACCAGGATACATGGTATCTAATCCTTAGTTTTAATTTAAGATGCATTGAAAATGCTTGAAATGAAGTGAAAACGCTTACTAAAATAAAATATTTGAAGCTCTTTGAAATTTGTTGCGAAATTTCATTTGTGAATTCTCTACTCCTAGAGCTTCCAGCAAGTTCACGCTACAGGCCATCCTGCAAGGAGGAGAGAAAATTTCACGCAATTTAGATAATACTCTAAATTTGTTCTTTATGTATCGTGCTGACTTAGTTATTTTTACTTTCTTGCCTACCGCGTACTGACATTGTAAAGAGAAAGTATTGTAATGCTGTAGCGAAAATAGTATTTCTTTTAAATTTAAATAATTAATGTTTAATAATCCTTGGGTACTATTTGGTTCACGACGTGTTAATATGTTTTTATCAAAGGAAATACAAATACAATTGTATCAAATTATCTGAGAATAGTTTATATATTTTATTGACAAACGAAAATGCCTTGAAAAGTATAGAGTTTGAAGGAGAACTCAAGGAAATATGTTTGGGAAAAAAATACTTGTAGGGAGTATCAACATGTATTTTCTATCACATTTGTGAAATACAGATAGCGAAGAAATTATTAGATCATTCATTCACTCTCCATTACCACAATAGATAAACAAGAATTACGTTAGTGTCATACAATTCAGTTTTTACATGAAAATATTTGTCTGAAACATCCAAATATAATATAGATCTATGTATGTGTATAATTTTAAGCTCCGTTAAAAAACAATAAAATATCCGCTTTAAAAGCTTCATAGAAATTTAATATTTTGCAATTTGCTTTCTAATAAGATATATTTTCATTTACTCGACACATTCTTATCAATCAATTCATTCAAATCCGATCGTTTTACAAGCAACTCAAGCACGTTACATTTAAGATTTTACTCTTACAATAATGTACATAATCTTTAATACAATTGATATTGTATACATTTATTTTCGTAGTTCATTATTTTTATAATTCTTCCAGAAATGCAACGACATATGTACCAATGCAATGATCTTAAATATGAGATCAACATTTTTATGTGCCTTGAATATACGTAATTTTATAGTGATATTAAAGTGAAGGCAATAAAATCTCACTTATTTGAACATTTATACTTTCTAAAACAAATTTAAACAAACATTAAGCGCAAACATTTTAATACGAGTATACGCATATCAAAATAGAACAAATATATTCGGAGTTATCTCGACGTATGGTGTTTCACGAGTCTTATCTTGTCTAGATAGAGGATATTTCAAGTACACATTTAGGATTTTTTGTTAAAAGTCTTCAGACTTAGATATAATCTTATGTTTATTTCTGTTGATTTCTATGCTGATCTTGATACAGTATGTATCTTAGTCAGATACTGATATTTCAAAAACCGGCCATGAAGAGTCGCTAAATTTATTGGTATTGCATGAGGAATACCTTATAGAATCAACACTTTGTGTGTCGAATAATATGGAACAGCAATCACTATCTTAAGTATTCTGTGCTAAGGAAAAGTCTTTGGTAGTTCCTCTACAGCCCGCACAGGCTACTTCAAACCAACACACTTTTTGTTCACTACATTGACATCATCTCTCTCTAAAAATGACAGAAATAGGCGTTCTAAGAACAGATACGCGATGGTAGATTTCTTGCTTAAATATTTCCAATTAATAATATGACGTACATAACACTTATTAATGTCTGACTACAAAAATTTCATTTGATATATCTACATACTATATGCCACTTGAAAAGAGAGTCCATCAAAATAATATATTTATGTATTTATATTTTACACATAAAAGTATCGTGAAATGTCGCATTGCTTAGCTATTTAGAATATTACTCGTGCAACTGTAAATGTATGTTCCTGATTTATATAATACAAAATTTAAATATACACGACAACTTGCGTTTTTAACTAAAGAAAAAAGTATAGAAATATACACCAGAATGGTTACTCTACAATTTAGAATTTTCTGTAACCGTTAAGGAAAAGAATAGAGAAAGCGGGAACTAGAGATTAGCGAACTTGCAGTGGACTTTAACTACATTACATAGAGTTATTAAGAGACACATTTAAAATTTGACAACCATTTTGTAAACTACTCGCTGTAATGCGGCAAAGGCTATAGTGGAAACTAAGTACCCGCGTACCCTTACCCGTTCACAGGTGGCATGAAGATCGTAGAGAGGAATCGAGAAAACCTGGGGCCTGTTTTCTGGACGTATCGAGGATCCCACGCCACATTCAGTCCACTATCAATTCGAGAATCTATGTTCCACCAGGTGGGCGAATTTATTAATTTGTCTCATCAAGTTGATATGCTGAATCATGTTTTTCATCAAGACAATTATGTACGACTACAGGTCTTAGAAAATGAGGCTAAAAGAAATGGGTTGAATGCTTACTTCAAAATTACATTAGTGAAATGCTGTAATGGAAAAATAATCGTAATTCGAATGTCGCCATGAGTATTTCTGGCTCTCATTCTGTGGCTTATCTTTCGAGACTTATCAATGAAGTACTATAGTAAACGTCATTTCATACATCGTCTACGTCTACTTCACTTCCAAACACAATTTACCACCACCACTGTTACTACCTCCATTTTCCTTTAAGTTAATGAAATTGGAATAAAATCTCCATTATGCAACTTTCTCAATTGGGACTAACAGATTTTTTCTTAACAGCTAATCCTTCAGAATCGTATTGCTGCGAATAAAGTGAATATTTTTGACATAATTTAATTTATGAGTAAGGTGCGTGTCAATAAACAAATACGAATATATTCACGCAATATTTATTTTTTGGATCACATTAAGAGAGATCACATTAAGCAGATTGTAATAATACGATAATTTTAGCATAGAATTGAGCTTGTTTTAATTAAAATATTTTATAGATTCAGCTCTTAAAATTTCTAATCAGAAAAGGTCTTCTGGTCACTAATTTTTAATCCCTCAATCTGTTATTAACAAAAAGCAAAGCAAATTACTTCTTTTGTAGCAAACAGTGTTAAGTTATATGTCTAGTCTTCATGACATGTGAAATACAGTAAATGGAAGAAGAGAAATTTGCAATTTCACAGAAACACCAATTGAGAATTACCCAAGAGATTTCATTCCCCCCTGCACCATCTACGATTGCGTATCCATTTGAAGTCCTACCACACAGCAGGCGAAGAGAGATGGCGTTGGTCCGTGTGAGGAAGCTCTGTCGAGTCACTATAGCAGAACCATTAAAGATAGTGCCAGAATGTTTAACTATTTAATTACCATTAATTACTACAAAAATGTGTTTACCATACATTTTGTAAAGAAAAACGTAGGCTAAAGAGTTCGAAATCTTTAGTAAAAGCTCCAAATTGCCAACAAAAGATTACATTTTAACTATTTCAATACTTGTGTTAACACGTATTTGAAGATACGTCAGAATAATCACAATCACAACAACTCAAAATCGCAATGCCACATTGACTTACATATTTTGATTACGAAACCAATGTTTCTACCATCACTCTGTGGTTAATGAGATAAATAGAAGGTCCCGCTTCTTCAACCAACAATTGAAGGTGCATTGACCGGGGTTTGATCCCCGGTGCCAGCGGGATGTGGCTAACTCCTGCAGTGAGTCACCACTCAACCCGGCACCAGCCCTTACCTCCCGACCGGTCTCCCGGCATATGGGTAATGTGTTATCTATTTTTGTTAAGGTACTGTTACGGCTTTCGCCTGGGATTGATAGGAGAAACCACGTAAAACTACCGACCTGAAAATAAGGTAGAGCAGGTGGTCGCTAGAAGTCTCTTTCAGGCAGTGGCTGAATTCGAACTAGTTATATCGCTAGAGACGAATATCCACCACCCTTGGGAGATCGAACCTTAGTACCTGCCAGTCAACAAAGCTGCAGATGCAACGGATGTAGACAGCTGATCTGTCGCAGCGGTGATAGGCACTGAGATTCAAGTGAGACGCATTGATTAGGTATAGTATGACTGTATTGAGTTAATTAATTTGCATCAAAAAATAAATATTCTGGCACTATTTTTGCATGGTCCGAGTGAGTACCACAGCGGTGGCTGCGCTCGTGTGGTGAGAGGCGCGTGCGGCGCGCGGGGCGGAGGGGGGCGGGGGCGGCGGCTACACCAGACTGCAGCGGCGCCGGGGGGCAGGCAGCCTCGGCCGCGGCGCGACTCCTTCCACCGCGTCGGCATGCCGGCGGCGGTTGGGCTCCTTTGGCCGCCGCCGCTGCGGGCGCCACTGTCGCCGACGTCTTGGAAGCCGGGTTGGGCGTCGCCGTCGCGGTGGATGTGGCGCCTGCCGCCCCCGCCCCCGCCGCGTCTCACACGATCAGCTCCTCCGCGCGCGACAGGAACCACACCTGCAAACGATGTTGCAAAGAAAATGCACGTTACTGTCGGACACTGAGGCGTAAGTTGATTTCAATCTTCTATTCGTATAACAGAGATGCCTCGAAGATTTTTCTGTGTTTGTGTGTGTATCTATGTGTGTGTGCACGTATACAAGTGGGAATAGTGTCCAACCGACTACAAGCTTTGATTGAAATATTTTTTTATTAATGCTGAATATAAAATGTAATATTGTTGACTTATTTTTTCATATTTATAATTAAAATTGTTATATTGAATGATTTCTGTTAGTGCAAGCAATTAGTAGAATCTATATTTTCAAATTTGAAACATTGGCGTCTACCGGGGGGGGGGGCAAAAAACCTAATGATTCCTTACCTTGTCTACCCCACTGCTTACAGTATCAATCGTTTTGTACTTTTTAACAAATTTACTTCTTTGTAGTATTTTTTATTTGTTTTCAGCTGACTTTACAAAGATACCGAACTCTAGATTCGAAGCTATTGAAATCTTATTATGTCACACTATGTTCTATCGGCATCCCTGAAACAAGTGTATTGTCATTTTCACGTGAAGACAATACCTCAAAAAATGCAGAACACACGATATTGCCACTTTTTTATAACAGTTTAGAATCTAGAGGTAGCCAAAAACAAAAACAAAAAAAAAGAATCGTGGAACCGAAAAGCATAATTAAAAAATAATGTAGCCAACTTGTAAGGAATGTGTACATTTCCGAACAGGAATGTGTAATAGCCCTTAATAGATTTTGTGTTGAAATGGTGGTGAAATATTTGTGTGTCATGAATATGAAGATGACTTGTGAGTACTAGATAATCCAACGAACCTAAACTTGCATTTTCAAATCCATCCGTAATTTCCTTTGCACATTTAAACTCTAAAGCTTTATTTCAACGACTTGTAAATTTTGTATTCCTTAATAGATTTTTCCCCATTTTAATTTGAGAATTATCAATAATTTTGTTTTAAAACCATGTTCATATTTTTTAATATATTTCTACAAATGATAAATGTTACTCCCACGAGTGAAAACACACCTGCATGGGGTCCGCCTTGCCCTTCATGGTGATTGGTCCGCGGTACTCGAAGTGGAACTGCGGATCCGCGTTGCTTGGTCGGCAGAGGTACCTGCGACAAAGGACAAGTACCATTGGCGTATAGGCGAACAAGGATTTCCCAACTACTAAGTAGCCTCGAGGCAGAGGATGGACTTTGATGAAAACCAGAATGGTCTGCATCAGTAGTCATAAACGTAAAATTGGAAAAAAAGTTGTTAATCAATTAGATGAAGGACATCAACGCTTATTGAAGACTGCATAACTACTTAAACTACTCTACAATGTCTTCGAAGGTAGCTTAAAGCAGAGAACAAGTAGGTTTAAACCATCAAATTGTAGTTACAAATTTACTGAAGTTGTAAAATGGATTTTCCCGAAAGATTTTGTAACAGAAGTGATTACGTATATCCTTCAATTTGAATGCACGTTTTGTATTGAAAAATGTAAATAAACACAACTGATAAAGCTAAAAGTACTTATTTAAAATATTTACATTACAAGTAATTGAATTTTCATCACTACGAAAATCGGAGGAGTTGTCCCCGGTAACGGGCTCTATCACACAGGCTTTCGAATTCCGAAAGTTTCAATTCCAGCTTGGTATGGAGGATATTCGAAGATCAGAAAGTCTATCACTTAGTGTGCCATATTACACGCTTGTGGCTTGTTCCAAGTCTCTCCACGATTCCCGATGACGATTAGTAATCAGTTAATAAACAAGAGGGGTACCCTGAGTATTACTTTTGTGGATGTTAAACCAACATTTCTAAAATATTTATTGGGAAACGCTTCTCTGTTAAGCGGAAGGGGTAGTGAGCGGGATTCGGGAAAGGAAGGGTATGGAACAAAATGAGTGGGAGGAGTTAAAGGAAGAGGCAAAGCGGAAGGAAAAGGAGAGGAAGGGGAGTGGCGAAAAGAAAACATGTGGAGTGAAAGATGTCACGGAACGCAAATTGTGGAAAGAGGGAGCACAACAAAAGGAATGGAAGGAGGGCAAACTGGAAAGCAGGGCAAAGTGATACATTACTAATGAACGACGAATAATTAGGTAGTTGCTTAAATTAGATAAGAAACAAACAAACCCCTATACAATCGAATATATCATTGGAATGTCAGAAATAACAATTGTTTTAACATAAACACCGAATATTAGCAGTTCAGATGTCTTAACAGTATTCAGAAACACAGCCTTCAAGCTTGTACCGTGTTTTTTTTAATTAGCAGAGATTATTTAATTACGATTTCCTGTTTATTGTGTTATTGTGGTGGATGAGTAAAGATAAACAGCATAATTAAATATATTATCGTTAAGAATTTCAAAAATCTGTTGCATTTGAAGCCATTCTCTGTTAGGAAATACATTGCACGAAAAGTTAATGTTTACTATATTATTATCTCAATTTTCTGTTTGATTGGTACAACATCTTTAAAATATACGAATTCTTATGAAATAATTACTTTCGTCTTCCTCAGTTCAAGTAATCCAAGAAAATACTTTCTCACTTCATTAATAAATTCCTTCCGTAAATCGCTTGTCCCTTTAACACCCATTATCATCCTATCACCTAATTTTTATAATTCAACATAACAACCTTGTCATATCAAGGGATTCAGCCGTAAAAAGCTGATCCGTATAATTACACACGTTAAACTCTCCGGGTTCTAAGAAGAGCAGGTATAGCGTGGTCAGTAAAGGACGATTCTCAAATAATAACAATAATAATAATTATAATTTAATATTCGAGAATAATATATCAAACCTTGATTTATATAAATTCACACCATTGTTTGTAATGCGGTATTTGTTGCATGCACTTCTTTAGACGGAACTACATTCTGCGGAATTGGTCTATATGTAGAATATTACTTCTCTATTTATTCACAAGTTTCTTCGAAAATCGCTATGGTACATTTCATACGTTATTAAGTCACACAAGAGATTCAAGTAAGTTTATCTCCGCACAAATGTCAGAGAAGTGTGAAGGCCATTTACGTTCGGGCTAGTGGCCTGTTGGTCGGAATTTACACACACACTAAAGGGAGCATTTATGCTATTCGCCTATGTTCTGCGGACGTATCCACCGCTGGTATTAATTAGGAGGAGTGGTCTCAGGTCACAGCATCATGTAAACCCTGGGGACTAAGTACCCCGCGGCTTAGCCGGACTTGCTGGCTAGGCACAGAGGTCGAGAGAGATGTAGTACGCTGGCTTACGAAGCACAGTAACTTACGGGTGTTCGTTAATTAATGTAAATCGCATGTGAATGGCGCTATTTCGATACCGTCAATGATGAAGTATTGTTACAAAAATAAGTAATACAATTTTTGAAAACACGATTGTAAAAAATTATATGACGTGCGTACATGAACCATTAAGGAGAAATTTCACTATGATTTTTTTCCGATCACTTTCCGATCACTAAAAAAGATACTTTTGATAAAACTTATAAGTGATAAATGTTGAGCAAATAGGAAGTAAAAAATATTATGCATGTAGAAAATGTTGCGATTCAAGTCCCATAGGTCGAATGACGCAATCTTATGAGCAAATTAAAATAACTTTCACAGCGTGTGTAACTCACAATTTTTAGATACATTTACCGACATTCATTTCCTTTTAGTTCAAGAAAACAAATCGCTATGCTATCAGATCAAATAAAATACTTTGTTTTGTTTGTTGTATTCAGTTTTATCCTACCATTTAATCATTGTCTCACTTTTAGCAGTAGCGATAAAAATCGAACTTAAGCACGATTTGCATTCCTTGAAATTAACCACATTTATTAGGGTTTGTATAAAAATACATTATTTTCTTCTCTTGTGCTCTAGATTTTGATGCAAATTTTGGCTTTCTGCACGAGTATCTGTATTCTCTCCTTGTCGTCGGCGAATATTTATTATTTATTACATGTGTTATTTGCAAATCTTTCTCTTCAACACAACCTAACCACAACCATACTTTTTGGTATATTCATATTTTCGACAATGCGTATATTTGTGAAGCTATGTTTACACCAATAGTGAGATAAATAATAGTATTATACGTAATAATAGTAATTATATTTATTATAGGTTGATTATAATATCACAAACATGTGTATTCTTGGACACATTTTAGATAAATGAAAAAATAACGTTCTTTAAAAAGCTGTAGCTCGCTTTTTAATTAGTATCGAAAAAAATGTTTCATACAAATGTTGTAGGAAATTCTATTCACTTTAAAATTGAATGTAATCATTTTCGTATAGGAATTATGGTTCAAAAGTGATAGAGAAAATCCCAAAATAAGCCAGCAAAAATACAGGTTTTTCGGGCCTCTCAGAGTTAGCACAGGGTCTAGGAGATCGAAAACTTGAGGTTTTAACTAGTTTCTGGGTGCATTCAGCATATTTAATGAAAACGTTTTTATCACTTTTTTCCAGGTCAAATGGACTAATGTGACCGCAACATCATTACAAAAGCTTTTTTGCGAACATCTATCTCACTGTGATCGTACGCAGTATCTCTGTCGCCTAGACACAGACTCCCTTGTCCGACGCGATGGATTGAGGGTACCTTGACCAGAAAAATACCCGGAGCATTGCCGGTGTTCATTCCTTCGCTTACCATTTTCGTATCTGCGAGCAGCCCGCCCACCCCGTCCCTGAACGTATTATTCGCAGAAGTGATCAACTATTACGCGTGGTAAACCGTGTACCCTGGGCGGTAACTCTGGGGATTCTGCTTTGAGCAGGCAGGATCATGAGGGAACGGCTAAATGAGAACGTGGGATCAGCCTAATTCAGGGCATAACGTAGTGCAATTTGTGGCTCATTATGTAGATACTGCGTCGGCATCTCCCTAGGACTGATGAGTGAAAGCATGGAAACAACCTTTCAGAACAGTCAACCTCGAAAATCCCTCTCAAAGAGTTATCAGGATCAACATAGCTGTTTGGCTGGAGTCGAAAATTCTCCTGTCATCGGGAATTAAATCTAGAACCTGGAGGCTATCATATATAAGTATATGCATATACGATAAGTATACGTAAGTATATAAGTTTCAGCTGTAATTGCAATGTAGCAACACCTATCTATTGCTCCAGTTTTGAAACTGTTATTCAGTTACACATTGATTTTTTTTATCTTCCATGTTACAAGCACACAAAATTATCAATTCCACATTCTGTCAACCATCACATGCACATTTGAGCAAAATATCTACAACACTCAATTTAAAATAGAAACACATTCCAATGAGATTTTACGAGGAAGATCAACACAGCAGTACTGATAACCGTGGAGACTAATTCGTTTCGCGGACTCTCATCATGTCCGTCAGGTTATGCATTGCATATTACGAACCGGAGATGGAGTTGCGGACATTGGGAGGCGGATGGTGTCGAAAACGGAGACAGGGGACTGAGGACATCAGCTGTCGTAGCGCTTGGGTGGCTGAGGGATTGGAGGCCGAGGGGAGCTCTGGAGGGTGCATGGGAGCCACACGTGGCCGAGGGCATAGGAGACAGAGCAGCGTTGGGAGTGAGGGCGTTTGAGTTCGGAGTATGTTCAAATGAGGAAATAGTGGGGTGGCAGGAGTGGGTTGGTGGGGGGGGGGCGCAAGGAAATCGGGAATCAGCGAGGTGTTGGGCGTGGTGTGTTGAAGGAAAGGGTGAGGGCGGCGGGGGCGGTTAAGGAAGAAGATGGTGGGTGGTGAGGGGAAGGGCGGGTGTGGCGTGGGGGAGGAGGAGGTGGTGAAGGGTGAAGGGGAGGCTCCAATGTCAGGCGGCGAGCGCCGAGGAAGCCCTACGCCCGCTTAATCCTATTCGGCGTGCACGTGGGGCCTCCGGTGTGCGAAGTAGAGGCCTGTCCCCGCGAGCCAGTTCCCCAGCAGGCGACTTCCACAAAGGACGCGACTGCTCGCTTGACAATCATCCGGCGGTTTGGAACGTTGCGTGGCGACGGCGGGGTTCCCATTCACGCAAATTTCCAGTGCTTCAACAGGACTCAACTGCTGCCCATCAGCTACCACCTTCAGGCTCAGCTCGAGACCCGGTACGTGACTGGTAATTATCGTTTGCATATTATAATTATTAGAGAGCAATGACTAATATATTTTAAAAAAATATTTCATAAATGGTACATATTAATTCATAATAGTTAATATATAATATTATACAACAAAGTATATTTCAATAACAAATATTAAGTCAAAAATCTTGTGTGCGAAATACTAAAAATAAAATTACTCTTTTAAATTTGTGAACAGACCTGGAGAATTTCAATATCAAGTTTTCACATTAGAGTATTTTCAGTTTAAACCCTGGCGATATTACTTTCCCTTAGGAAAGAAAGTGGTTATTTTCGATTGTGCATAATTTATCTTTCGAATGACATACGTAAATATTTCTAACAATTATTAGTTTAAGCATAAATGGCATGATATGTATTTTAGTAACATTTGCGTCATTATTGACGTGATTTGAATAAATAAACACCCTCAAGAAAATATAATTAAAGACGGGAACAAGAGGTTGGTGGTAATGACCTACCACTTTTCCCTCCCGGCATTTTGTAACACACAAACAAAATCGTAGCTGATTTTTGGAAATAACACATTCGCTCATTATCTGCAATGCTAGAATCTAGTGTTCCTCTATTTCTTCTAACCATTAATCAGGTACGTATATTTCATATTTGGGAATAGGTGTTATATCAGTTTAAAATAATAGTATTACATAGAAGCAAGATACTAACTTTTTTGTGTGTTAAGTTAGAGGGGAAAAATGAAAGAATATAAGAGCACAATATCAGTTTACTCATATTTTCTATTATGTTATTACTTTAATTAAAACGACGAACGGACTATCATACTATTTTAGGTTAATATTTTATTTTTCTGTAACTCTTCTGTGGAAAAAATGTTCAACAATTATGCTCTTAGTCGTAAACCTACTACTGTTGTTTGCTTTTTTGGAGATACAAATTAAATAAGTCTTCATTTATCCGTGAATGTACTTCATCGTGAATTTTAAAATTTTAATAAACACATTGTTAATTTCTTTCACTTACGAAATATTTATAAAATTTAAATAATTTTCCAGTTGCACATTATCATTTCAAAGCCTGCTGTCATATTCGGACAAATTAAAAGTGAAAATTAAAAACAATAGAACAAATTATAACTTGTTGGGGGTGATGTGTTCTTTCATTTACAAACTTATGTGTTCAAAAAGAAGTGCCAGTAAACAATTTTGACCAATATCCTTTTCAAAAACATGAAATATCGGATATAATGTCATCACAAAATTGCAGGCCTCAGTTCCGACGACAAAAAGTACATCAAATATATTACGTATCCTAAGCAAACATAGAGAGACTAATTATATATGATTTGATAACCTAATAAATCCAAACCGTGAAGTGTCTACAGTTGTGATGATTCGAATTATTGGCGAACTTAAAATAGTTCATAGTCAAGAATTTCTGGTGTTTCTAGCTACACATAACAATGTAACAACGGTACGTCCGCTTGTAAAATTTCTATTTCTGAATTTATTCTCTGAGTTACATTAAATTAAATTATATATTAAACACCTTGAAATTTTCTTTGAACCAGGGGCATTTGCATATTTTACGTAACTTCACATAATGTTTGTCTGCAGTTTTTGTTTTATTTATTATTTATAATTATAACCATTTAATAATAATATTGCAGGTATCTGGTTTAAATGGATCCGGCGAACGAGAGTTCGAAGCCTGTCCCCAGCAGCGCCTTCCAACTGTTGGACATATTGCGAACCTCCATAAAATGGAGCGACTCTCCTCAGTCATGAAAGAGCCAGAAGAGGTGGGTATTGCACTGGTATTTTGGGCAACCGAGCGGTTTCAAGGGCCTAGTTTATGACTTCGTGGTTGCTTCATACTTTTATTGCACTAATTTAAAAGAGGGACATATTTGCTTACACTTTTGGAAGATGCTGGGTTCGTGATGTGCTAAAAATTCACTGATTATCTTAAAATTAGTGTCAAATTTATTTTTATTTCTCTGCTGACTTTTACGCTATTTACAAGTGGGAACTTGGGATGTGAGCGAAAGCTGCTTTTGCATTGCTATACTCTCTTTGGCCAATTAAAATTGTAGGTTCCATCCAATGCATCTCAGTGATTAGGCTAGAGACGTTTTGCATCTACTTTTTCTCTCCCAGCCTGCCAGACCAGTCGAATAATGTGGCTTGGTGTATACCAAGACAGCAAAAATTATTGACTTTTACTATTTTCCAGGTAATTGATAGGAATTCCACGAAACATAAGTGCACAACAATGCAGTTTTATTAGCTATTAGAGGCATGCATTAGTTTAGGAGCATTCGAGGATATTTGAAAAAAGTATGTTGTATATAAAACATTATATTAATAATTTAAAAGGTTAATTTTACGTGATCAAACTCTGCTTCGAAGTGAAAAATAATTTGATCAATCTCCGAGTTTTGGCTTTCTGTGACACGCTTCGACTTTTAGTCTTTAACATTTGATCTTATTTAAGTCTTACGAAGAATTGACCGTAACGTTGCATTTACGCTCAGCCTCCAAATATCCTGAATATGAATTCAGCGAACTCGCGCGCATTCGACCGAGTACTCCGGAGGAATACCGCCAGTTACCAGAAACATTCTCTAGACATAGGGGCCTAATGACCATTGCAGTTGACGTGTCCGGAAGCTTTCATGCGGAAACAATCAATCATCCGGCATTTCACATGAAGAGCAACGAATGATATAGCTCAGAGCCAGCATTGTCTGTGCAGCGACTCTAATTGGGATGTAGGTTTCGAGCCCCGAAGATGAAGGATTTCCGTTACTAGCTACATAGCTACGTCGAATCAAGCCGCGTTTTCAGGAGAATTATAGCTGCCAGCTGTTCTGAGGTTTTCTGTAATTTATCTAATACCAAGTGAATGTCTGAGCAGTGCCATTACAAACGGCCGCGAGAGACCTTTCTATCTCCTCCTTGACCTAACCTCTCTTTTTCGCACCCCACCGTACGCTTACATGCACTGCTGTGGGAGACACCGGGAGGGAAAAATCCTGGAGGGGAAAATCCTGGAGGAGAAAAACCTGGTGGGAGGTATCCTAGAGGGGTATATCCTAGAGGGGTATATCCTAGAGGGGTATATCCTAGAGGGGTATATCCTAG